ATTTCTGAAGAAGGGTTTCGACCCGAAACGTCAGCTTTCCTGCTCCTCTGATGCTGCTTGGCCTGCTGTGTTCATCCAGCTCTACACCTTGTTATCTCAGATTCTCCAGCATCGGCAGTTCCTACTATCTCTTAGTCACCAGTGATGTCCAGATATAGTGCCAGGACATCTGGTTTAGTCATCAGTGACATCCAGCTAGATGTAGTTCCAGGACTTGAGGTTTGGTCACCAGTGACATCCAGTCAGTTCTGCCACATGGAGCATATCCTCGACTCTTGGTTACATTCAGAGCCATAGGCGCCCTCATCTGCCATGTCATCAAATACTATTTTTAATGGAAGTTTGGATTTCGAGTTAGCAGAAGCATCAGAATGGCTGGCATGAAGGAGAGCTCCTGCTGGAGACAACCACTTTCCAGACACTGCAGTTCCCGGCAGAAGTTCAGGGAGGTTTTCTTTCCAGAAAATGCTGTCTTTCTGACGAGCTGGACACAAACAATGCATTGGCCCTATTTCAGAAAGGAAGAAGGGATTACCCATCGTGTCCTATATCTATCCCCCAATCAATTAAAGGTTACTTAGTAAAATAAAAATTATCTGATATCTGCTCTAACTTGCTTTGTGACAACTGGCAGCCCAAGTTGCAAAAGATGAAATGCTTCAAAGAGTACTTCCCTCGTTGTGAAGCATTTCAGGACATCCCTGCAGGTGGTGATAAGCATTAGAGAAATGCACGTTGTTTTTATCAGAGCAGATTTGTGGCAACATTGTTTTTTTTCCACAGTTACAGGAACTTCCTGTTCAAATTACAGGCTGAACACTGGAAGCGGAAGTACTTTAAACTGTGGAACGAACATATTAGGTAAAGTGTGTGATATTTATTTTTTAACCTCTTTCCCCGAAAGTTTTCTTTATGGAGAGTTGTGGAGTGCAGAAGAATTTGGTCGAGAGCGGCCTCTTAGGCCTCGGGAATAAACACGGCAAAAATTTTGTCCAACGTTAAATGCCAGCGACAAACCGCCGTGCTTCAAGCTAACGTTCGTTTAAAAAAAATTCCTCAGACTTAATAGTAAGAGAGATGTTTCTTTATCTTGAAATTTGATCACTGTTGTCATTAATCCCGGTTTCCAACGACGAAGGGTCGGTTTTCTTAAAAAAAATTGAAAAAATGCAGTGTTCCAATCACCAACGGTCGCCAAACCAGGCCTGGAATTTATCATAAATCTTGAATAATATTAGAATATAATGTGTCAAGTTAATTTGTCGTGGATTAGCTGCTTTTTATAATTAAAGTTTTAATTTTTTTTGTTTAAACTAATGCTGTTGGAAATTTGTGTTCCTTCCTGTCTGACCTTTCTTTGTTACATTTTTAATTGAAGTTTTATTTCCTGTTTCCAGCCCCCTTCCTTTATTCTTCTAAATAAATGTCCATATAACATTCATTATTCAATGATGCGCTTTTTAGTCTCTCTATATGGACGATTTTATCTGAAAGCAGCATCTGAGGTCTTGTACGTTCATTTGAACCTTTGCAATTGGAATACATTCGCAAACATTTCGTATCGGGTTAGATTTTCTTGTTTTATGATGCTAAGATTTGTTTTGGTAGTTCAGAGAACAAGCTGATACCCAACATTATTTGCAAGTATTTCAGATCAAGCTAAATTTTGTTGCTTTAGATTTTCAGAACAACATATTTATTTGAATGATGCTGTATTATTGTAGAGACATTTTATTTTCTGTGCGGATTTCATAGAAATACTTTGGAAAATATTTCTACTTCAAATGTGTACATACTTGCAGTGATTATTTTGGAGGATAGTTTAGAATTCAAATTTATCTAGCTTGAGTAGGCCTGTCTCTTTAAGATGGGAGGAAACAAAGCATTTATTTTTAGAATATTATTTTGTTCCTTTCTCTTTTGGGACTTGAGCAACATGACCTGTATTTAGGTGTCTGCTGATAGATTGTGTGAGACGTTGTAGAGCAGAGAATGTAACAGAAAACCATTGCCTCCAGTTGTCAGAACAGATGAAGGGTATGAATGATGCCTTCTCATTATGGCACAATTAAGATCAAGCCTTGTGGTCTAGGAATTAGAATGAAAAACTTCAGTTTATGCCTAATTTGTCAGAGAGATGGCAATAAGGATGTTAATTATTAAAAAGAGAGACTTGCAATAAAATCACATTTTGAGATGAGCCAAATAATTACTTTTTGAAGTGTTGCACTGTTGTAAACTTGGGGGTGTATTTTGCCAGAAATTGACTGTCAATATTGGGGAGTTTTGTCGAGATTTCACTGCATAAGCTGTTCTAAGTTTTCTTGCACAAATCTCTGCAGCTTGCCTCATTGTGCATAGCTAATGTCTCTTGCACCCTCTCCTGTTGTCATCCAATCAGCACTGCGGGGATCTCCTGGCATTCTCAGCACCAATACCATTTTTAAAGCCTAGCCGTATACCAGGTCAAGTGCTGCCAGCTGAGCACTACCCCTCATGATGCATGTAGTGGCAGGGGAATGAAAAGGAAACACTTCTGAGAGCCCTTGAGGCATGGCTAACACTTTTTATTGTAAATATATACTCACAGACATTTGTAAGTGTGTTATTTTTACATCATTGTCTATTTGATTGACAGTTGTAACTGCAGCTACAAGAATCAAGTTGCACAACTTATCCATCGTCGGTGGTTATTCCCACTTAGTTGCTATCTCTTCAACAGGATTCTGTTTCTGTAATTTCCAGCATAGCACAACATCTTTCATTGCTCAATGTTGGAGCGTCACATACTGGAAAGTCTTCAAACAGCTGAAAAAAATCCATTTGTATTCACCAGAAACAAAATAATGTAAAAACAGGAAGAGGTGCATTTGCTTCTAGAAAGAGACAGGGACTATATGCCTTTTGATCAAGAACAAGTCTACAGTCAGTGATCACTGTACCCAGTTCACATCTATTGGAACTTGGTATCAATTAAATCCTAAATAAAAACTTAAAGAACTGCGGATACTGTAAATCAGAAACAAAAACAGAAATTGCTGGAAAAACTCAGCAAGTCTGGCAGCGTCTGTGGAGAGAAATCAGAGTTAACATTTTGGGTTGAGTGAGCCTTCCTCAGAACTCAACTTGCTGAACTGGCTTGCTGTACCTGATGCTGCAGGACTCTATCATGCAGAAGGTGATGTTCCTCCTGCTCAATGCCCTTGTGTTTCTCATCTGAAGACTGCTGCCACTCTCCCAGCTCTTCGCCATCCATCCTTCTTTGCCTCTCCAGTAGTGTGGAGCACAATATGCTAGGATTATGCAGCACACTCCACATCAGTTCAAGTGTCCGAATCTCCTATTGTCTGCTCCACACTGACTTGGTAGAAAAAAAATGTTCTGCCATGTATTTATGCTCTGCTTCAGTCAGAGGGTTGCATAACGGAGTCATCGGTCATGATTGCAGAGGGTAGCCCTTGTCTGTCAGTATCGTGTAAAGCATTTAGCCCTTGAAACAAAGTGGGAAATGAGAGTTCTCTAACATGAGAGTGATAAGCATCATAGCAGTTATCAGGATACCTGGCTCAGACCTCGAAGATGCAATACCAATGATCGCAGATAACTTGTACGTTGATGGATTTGAACCCTTTTCCACGTTATGATAGGGAGCTCTCAACTCAATGTGTGTATATAATCCACAGTGCCCTGCAAATGGAGGTTGCTAGCTATGCGAGCAAAGCCTAATGGCTGCAGCGTTGAACTTGCCAAGGGGAAATGAGATGGATTGGTGCGATCTGGCACAAACTGTGTCTGTAAGATACAGCCTTGTGGATTGATGACTGAAAGATACCCCATGGACCCATGATAGATCCTTGAAAGCAGCCAGTGAGATAAAAGTTTAACCCAGCTGTCACCTTGATGACCACTGGGATACCATCCACTCCTTCATGTTGCACGTTGTGGACTGCAGTTGGCATAGTTCTGTGACAATGTCCTGGGACATCTGTAGTCTACAGCAACATTGTGTCTCACTCATCTAGAGAAGATTATATTGAGACAATAGATTCGGGACCTCCTCTACCTTCACAACCCAAGGGGACTTTCCATTTTCTAATTTAACGCGGAGACTGTTCAGCAACCACTGGAGATTGCAACTTGTCCTGAGTTTACTGGCATACCTGTTCCTCCTCAATCTCTCTTTTATTCATAACACCATGGCTGCAATGATATCTTTTGGTAGGGCAAATCAGGGCAGAACTTATACACTTAATGGTAAGATCCTGGAGGGTGTTACCAAACGAAGAGACCTTGGAGTGCACATTCATAATTCCTTGAAAGTGGAATCGCAGGTAGACAGTGGTAGTAAAGACGGCATTTGGTATGCTTGCCTTCATTGGTCAGTGCATTGAGTACAGGACATAGGTTAGGTCATTTTGGAATACTGCATTCAGTTCTGTTATCACTGCTTTAGAAAGGTGTTGTGAAACTTGAAAGGGTTTAGAAAAGATTTACGAGGGTGTTGCCAGGGTTGGAGGGTTTGAGCTATAGGGAAACACTGAATAGGGTAGGGCTATTTTCCCTGGAGCAATGGAGGCTGAGGGGTGACCTAATAGAGGTTTGTAAAATCATGACAGGCATGGATAGGATAAATAGACAAGGTATTTTTCCTGTTGTGGTGCGTCCAAAACTAGAGGGCATAGGTTTAAGGTGAGAGAGGAAAGATTTAAAAGGGACATAAGGGGTGACTTTTTCACGCAGAGGGTGGAGTGTGTATGGAATGAGCTGCCAGAGGACATGGTGGAGACTGGTCCGATTACAACATTTGAAAAGCATTTGGATAGGTATATGAATAGGAAGGGTTTAGAAGGCTATGGGCCAAGTGCTGGCAAATGGGACTAGATTTATTTGGTCAGTATGGCCGAGTAGGACCGAAGGGTCTGTTTCCGTGCAGTATATCTCTATTCCTCTATGACCTTGTGCTGTGTCTGGATCCATTGTTCCCAGATCCAATGAGTCTGTGTGGGGAATATCCGAGACGGACCGGGTTCTCGGTAATTGAATACTCCGCATTCGCATCACACAAAAATGATGGTTTAGCTAGCCCTCTACTCAGGGGACATAGAGAACTCTAACAGGAAGGCCATGGAATGCCTCTCCGGAGATCTTTGACATAGCGGACCTTCTTTCAATGAATACAGTACACGCCATGTCACAGTAGAATTTTTTTCAAGTGTTGTATAATTACTCATACTTATTCCCCAGCCCCACCTCTCACATCACCCAAGAAAGGCAGTACTGCATATTGATGAAAACATATAGCTCAATGTGAGAGGAAATCAGCTCAGTGTCCTTGTGCAGACTCTGAAATCTTGGACTTTTTTTGTTAGTTGTAGCCTGCAAGTGACACTTTAAGGTCACCTCTGATCACTTCTGCTTTACAGAAAGTTCTATCATAGAATCCCTACAGTGTGGAAACAGGCCATTTGGCCCAACAAGTCCACAACGCCCTTCCGAAGAGCTTCCCACCCAGACCCATTCCCTTAGCCCTATATTTTTCCCCATGTCTAACCCACCTAACCTAAACATCCCTAGGCACTATGGGCAATTTTAGCATGGCCAATCCACCTACCCTACACATCTTTGGACTGTGGGAGGAAACCAGAGCACCCGGAGGAAACCCACGCAGACACGGGGAGAATGTGCAAACTCCACACAGACAGTCGCCCGAGGATGCAATTGAACCTGGGTCCCTGGCACTGTGAGGCAGCAGTGCTAACCACTGAGCCACCATGCCGCTATGATCAATCTGTAATGACTGATGACATGATCAAGATTTGCTTGTGGCCAGAATTTGTATTGCACAATTGTACATTGCACGTATTTCATATCCTGGGTATTATTATGGACGACTACAACCTATAATGTATAAGTACCTAATTTGCTCATTGAAGGAACTCCCAACAGCCTCACAAGTAGAAAAAATACTTGCTGCACCCACTTGAGGTGTAGGCACAGCCATTTTCGATTTCCATTGCGCAGTTAGGATTTGCATCAGTATGGAAACTCAGATCGCACTTGATACATTTGAGTCAGAAGCTCAGCTTGGTAATCAACTCCCACCCGACTCAGTGAACCTCCCTGATCCTTCCTTGAATTCCCTGCTGACCCCCTTAGTACTGGGTTTCCACACATTCCCACATACCTGTTTGATTTATGACTTCCAACATTACCCCCAGCCCTACAGCCTAGTCACGCTAACTGTCATGCTGCACTGTCCCCTGGTCAAAGCCAGTATGTTCATAACCATAAATTAAACACCCTGCCCCAAGTAAGCCATATGCTCCAGTTCATAATTGTCTCTCCACACAACCCCCACACCCCACATGCTGAATTTCCTGCCTTCATAATTATTGTCCACTATGCTGCCTCCAATCCCACCCCTGCAGTTGATTTCCCCACCTTCACTACCACAGCAGTGACTCCTGATAATCCCCCTTAACTTTCATCGAGTTGACTCTGATCGACTTGGCTATACAGTCCTAACTGATGAGTGACTGATTTCTGTACAGCTCTCCAACTGACGTACAATTAATATTTGGACTGATTACACTGGACCTGCAGGACCAACCTGGCTCACTCTCCAAACTGTAGTCTTACAGTCCCTGCTGACCCTAACCAAGTGGCCAACTGACAGTGTCCAAACCTCTGGACTGATTCACTGTGCTAGGACACCCTGACCAAAGCCTGTCTGCCTTGGCCTAACTGTGGACTATTCCCCTTAGACTTTGACACTTGTCTTATTGGTTGATGCATATGCAGCAAGTTTGCCACATCAGTTGTTGGCAAGGTGGCACGGTGGCTTAGTGGTTAGCACTACTGCCTCACAGCGCAGGGACCCGGGTTCAATTGCACCCTCGGGTGACTGTCTGCGTGGAGTTTGCACATTCTCCCCGTGTCTGTGTGGGTTTCCTCTGGATGCTCCAGTTTTCTCCCACAGTCCGAAGATATGCAGGCTAGGTGGATTGGCCTTGTTAAATTGCCTAGTTGATTAGGGGTGTACAGGGGGATGGGTTCTGGGTGGAATGCTTTGAGGGTCAGTATGGACTTGTTGGGCCGAATGGCCTGTTTCCACACTGTAGGGATTCTATGATTCTAAAGAGGTGCAAGTGTGAGATGATGAAACATGGTACTGGACAGCAACATGTCTATGGGGTTTTTAAACTCTGCACCTCCTACAGAGAATAGTTTTATGGACCCTAAAACCGCCTTAGCAGAACCATGGGCATACCTTTATTTTCATATAGTAACCATTGATTACTTACCATTTCAAATAACACCCAACTGATTGGGTGTGTCTCACCTTGTAGATTTCAAGAGCACTTGGTTGATCAGACTGGTGAGCCCTGTTAGGTGGGAGATGATCTGTTCGAAGTATCTAAATCTCTATCTAGATCCTTTCCAAGTATCTAAATCAAAACAGCTTTTTATAATATGTTCAGCATTAATTGTAACAAAACATCCCAATGTGCTTCACACAAACATTATAAAACAAGTTATGACCCTAACCGTATTCCCTAGAAGCATTACGGTTGCTCAACAGCTTAGAGGGTCCTTGCGTGCCACTCAATTCTGTAAGTTGATGCTGTGTATGGATCTCGCCAGTCTGCACTGCAGCAAGAAAATATTAAACGGAACTTAGAACACTAAAACAAATAAGAAGATAGTGGGCCAGATGACCAAAAACCTGATCAAAGAGGTAAATTTTAAGGAATATCTTTAAAGAAGGAAAGTGAAGTAAGAAAGTGGAAACATATAAAGAATATAGGGCATAGACAACTGAAGATGCAATCCAATGGTGGTATGAATCAATACCAGAAGCCTGAGGCTAGAACCAGAGGAGCATAGATATCTTGAAGTGAGATGGGGCTGGAAGACAAGTTTGGGAGGGATAGGGAGGAATTTATTTTTAAAATAAAAACATTGTTTGCCCAGGAGTGATAGTGGAATGAGACATGGTGTAAATTCAGATGTGAGCAGCACATTTTTATGACTTCCAGGCAACAGAGGCAGGAATGTGGAAATCAACCAGGAATGCATTGGAATAATCAAGTCCGGAGATAGCGAATGCTTGAATGAAGGTTTCAGCAGCAGACAAGCTTGGGTGGACTAGGTAGGTGATAGTACAAAAGTGGAACTAGGGAGTAGTAGTAATGACACAAATATGGGGACAGTGGCTCACTTTGGTTAATCCAATGAGCTCTCTAAGCTGCACACATGCACAGCCCTTCCAAGGTTCTGTGCACAGCAACCAGCATGCTGATCACAGCGTTGATTCTGGAAGTTGGTGCTGCTGCATGTGGACTTCAGTGGCCCATGCAACCAGGAAGAAAATCAGAGATAGTAGGAACTGCAGATGCTGGAGAATCCGAGACAACAAGGTGCAGAGCTGGATGAACACAGCAGGCCAAGCAACATCATAGGAGCAGAAAGGCTGACGTTTCAGGCCTAGACCCTTCATCAGAAAAGGGGGAGGGGAAGGGGGTTCTGAAATAAATAGGGAGAGACGGGGAGGCAGATAGAAGATGGATAGGTGGAGAGGAAATAGACAGGTCGAAGAGGCGGGGATGGAGTCAGTAAAGGTGAGTGTAGGTGGGGAGTTAGGGAGGGGATAGGTCAGTCCAGGGAGGACGGACAGGTCAAGGGGGCGGGATGAGGTTAGTAGGTAGGAGATGGGGGTGCAGCTTGAGGTGGGAGGAAGAACAGGTTAGGGAGGCGGAGACGAGCTGGACTGGTTTTGGGATGTGGTAGGGGAGGGGAGATTTTGAAGCTTGTGAAATCCACATTGATACCATTGGGCTGCAGGGTTCCCAAGCGGAATATGAGTTGCTGTTCCTGCAACCTTCGGGTGGCATCGTTGTGGCACTGCAGGAGGCCCAGGATGGACATGTCATCTGAGGAATGGGAGGGGAAGTTGAAATGGTTCGCGACTGGGAGGTGCAGTTGTTTATTGCGAACTGAGCGTAGGTGTTCTGCAAAGCGGTCCCCGAGCCTCCGCTTGGTTTCCCCGATGTAGAGGAGGCCACAACGGGTACAGCGGATGCAGTATACCACACTGGCAGATTCAAATTAGAGGTATTGCTGGTCACCAAGTTTGCATACAGGCTAATTTTAATCTTGGACTGTTGCCAGGAAGAGGGATAGAGTGGTACCTAGAAAACAGAATTTGAAGTGGGGACGGCAGACAACAGTTTTAGTTTTCCCAGTATTTAATTGGAAGGAATTTCTGTTCATCCAGTATTGGAAGTCAGACAAACAGTGTGATAATTGACCAACAGTGAGAGATCAAGAGAGGTGATGATCAGATGGAGTTGGGTCTCATTAGTGTACATATGAAAACTGATGCTGTGCTTTTTAATAATACTGCCATGTGGCAGCTTGTACAGTAAATCCTCTGTATCCATGTAATCATGAATCATGAATTCGCCTGTCCATGCCAAAAAATAAGTATCAACGTATGCGGGGGAAAATCACATATCCACAGTTTCTAATCTATTTTCAAACAAGCTCTGCACTGACAAGTTTGATCATTTGTTGGGGTTCTCGGGAACAGAATGACTGTGGATGAGGATATAGGAGGGGACCAAGGATAGATCCCTGGTAACACTAAAGTTAACAGTGTAGGAGCAGGAAGGGAATCCATTGCAAGTGATACTGTGGATTTGATTTGATAGACAAGAATGAAACTAAATGACTGTGGTCTCTTTCAGCTGGACAAAAGTGGAGAGGCATGAAAGGAAGGTGGTGTAGTCAACTGCCAGAGGCTGCATACAAGTTAAGAAGGATCTGGCAGGAAAGTTAACTTCTGTCAAAGTTTCATAAGATGCCATTTGTGACTTTGATAAATGCTGTTTTCGGACTGAAGGAGAGTAGAAACCTTACTGGAGGGATTCAAGTATGTAGTTCTGGAAAAGTTGGGAATGGAGGATGAAAGGTAATAATAAATTTTAAGGACTTTGGAGAGGAAAAGAAGCTGGATAAGAAACTACTGAAAGATGTGATTTCAGGGTTAGGGTGGGAAAGAGCATTCAAGGAGTTCTTCTTTAACTCCTCTCACTTTCTTTAGATCAAAGGTGTGGCCATGGGCATCCACATGGGCAGAGTTATGCCTTTCTCTTTGTGGAGTATATTGAACATTCCTTGTTCCAATCCTACTTGTGGGTACCTCCCTACAACTCTTTCTCCAATATATCAATCACACCATTGGTGCTACTTCCATCTCCCGTTTGGAATTGGAACCATTTATCAATTTCACTTCCAATTTCACCACAGACCCACTGATCCCACAGTTACCATTTTGACCTTCACCTTCATACCTTTCTTCCTGTAAAAACTCCATCCCATTCGCCCAGTTTCTCCATCTCTATCACATTTTTCAGATGATACCATCTTCCATACAGGGGCCTCAGAAATCTCCACCTTTTTTCTCAATCAGCGATTCCCCCTAACTGGTTGACAGGGCTCTTAGCTATATTTGGTCCTGCATTTATGCCCTCATCCCTTCCCTTCTACAACAGTGATAGAGACATCCTACTCCTCACTTAACACCTCACAGGCGTCTGTATATAATGGTTGCAAGCCACCATTTCTATCACCTCCAATGGATGCCACAACCAGGCATATACACCTGCCCACACACCACCTCCCTCATCTCCATTCAAGGCCCTAAACAGCCCTTCCAAGTGAGACCGACTTCACCTACATTGCCTCCAACCTGGTCAGCTGCATCCAGTGCACCTGATGTCGTCTCTCGACATCAGTGAGACCAAACGTAGACTAGGTGACCGTTTAGCCAAGCATCTCCGCCTGGCCTATAATGGCCAACCTAACTTCCTGGTCACAGCCCATTTCAACACCTCGTCCCATTCCCCCTCCGACATGTCCATCCTCAGCCTCCTCCAGTGTCACAGCAACTCAGAACGCAAATTTGAAGAACAACAGCTTATCTTCCGCCTGGGCACCCTAAAGCCCAGAGGACTCAACATTGAGTTCTCCAATTTCAAATAACCTTATTAACCCAATCCCCTAGCTCCCTTTCCAGCCCCACGTCCTCCCTTCCATTCCACCTTCTAACCCTCCCTTCCAGCCACCAACCAGACTCATCCCTCCCATCGACGAACCAGGTTGTATCTACCACCAGTGTCCACTTATCACCACCACTCCGCCCCTACCCCTTCATCCCCTTTATCTGCAGGATAAAGGGTAATACCCGAAACATTGACTGCTCCTTTCCTCCAGATGCTGCCTGGCCTGCTGTGTTCTTCCAGACTCCTGTTTGTTTACTATATATTCTCCTCTCATCTCTTGTCAGCATTCTGCAGGGACCATTACCTCTAGGACACTTTGGTCCACTGCTCCATTCCCAACATCTTCTCGCACGTTCCCATTGCAATTGCAGAAGGTGTAATACCTGCCCATTTAACTCCTTCCTCCTCACCACCCTAGACCCCAGATATTTCTTCCAGGTGAAGGAGCAATTTACCTGTACTTCATTAAATCTAGTCTCCTGTACTGCTGTTTACCATGTGGTCTCCTCTATACTGGGGAGACAAAATGCAGACTGGGTGACCACTTTGCAGAACCCTTACATTCTATCCGTAACAATGACCCAGAGCTTCCAGTCACCTGCCACTTCATAACACACCACCATGCTTTCATGCCAGCATTTCTGTCGGGACTTGCTGCAGTGCTCCAGTGAACCTCAGTGCAACATCTCATTATCTGCTTAGGGACCCTACAGCCTCCATGACTCAACATTGTGTTCAATAACTTTAGAGCCTGATTCCATCTTTCCATGTTTTATACCCACCCCATACCCAGAACTGTATGACATAGGTTGCTTTTAGCACAGTAACCAATTCTGACATACTCTTAGTCCTGTTATCACATTATATAGCAAAACTCACCCATGCTGTCCTACTCTTAGCTCCTAATTATTAGCTTGTGATCCATTATCTCCTTGTTTACCTACCCCTTTCATATCTCTGTCTGTCTCTCTCTCTCTCTGTCTCTGTCTGTCTCTCCTCTCCCCTGTCCTCGTGCAAAAGACATCCTTGAGCTCCTTGTGCTAGGTGCCATGCGAGAGAGATTTCAGACTATCTTAAGCAATTTACATCTTAATAATAGCTCTCTGTGGTTGAATTTCTTAATCATTGGTGTAATTTTGATCAGACAACCTCAGTAAAGCAATGCCATCTATCCCACATCATTAAAATAGTGGTGAAAATTCTGCTATCATTCTGTGATTTGAGGGGCAGGACAAACTGCTCCAGGTTTTTTTAGAATCTTGGCTTAAACCCTTTTCATTGAAATGCTTGCTACAAAGATTACTTGGCACCTAACCATTACTTGCAGTCTAGACAAAAACGTGGCTTTGTAATCCTCTGTATTCAGCTACCTTTGTAACACT